CGAGCTCCTGATCTTCCTCTGGCTCGGGATCACCCTGGAGAGCTGTGCTCCTCGACTCTTCTGACCTCTCCTCCTCCCCCTCGCTCTCATCCATCTCTATGGAGATGCCTTCGGGCAGACTGTAGGATCGCCTGGGGGGTCTGAGCTCCCGGCTGTCACTCCGGAAAACATCAAAAAATGGCCACTCCTCTGCCTGTGCCGTTTCGTCTTCTTTTCTCCCTCTTCCTTCCTGCAGCCACGCCCCTTGCTCAAACCCTGCCTCTGCATCCCCCCATCGTCCTTGTTCAAACCCCGCCTCTGCATCCCCCCATCGTCCTTGCTCTAGCCCCGCCTCTGCATCTCCCCATCGTCCTTGCGCAAACCTCACCTCTACATCCCCCCATTGTCCTTGCTCAATTCCCACCTCTGCATCTCCCCATCGTCCTTGTTCAAACCCCACCTCTGCATCCCCCCATCGTCCTTGTGCCAGCCCTGCCCCTTGCTCTAGCTCCGCCTCTGCTTCCTTACCTCTTCCTTGCTCCAATACCGCCACTTTCTCCAGCCCCGCCTCTCCCTCCAGCTCCTCCTCCCCATTCCTCCCTTGTGTTCCACCCCCTTCCTCTTTCTCACACAGAACATCTCCCTGCACCCCCTCCTCGCTTTCAGCCTCAGTCCCTCTCTCCTGTCCCTCCTCTCCTCCCTCCCCCTCTCTGTCTGGCTCAGGCCCTGTCCTACTCTCCCACTCCTCCTCTCCACTCTCTGTCTCCAGATCCTCTTCAGCTCCCTCCTCTTCCAGGGCCTCTGCCTCCGTCTCCTTTTCGCATGGCCAGACCTGAGGGCTGCCCATCTCGGCCTGCGCTGTGAGCGTTGGGGTGTCAGGGAAGACATGGATAAAGGTTTCGGGGTACAGGCTGTCCCCAGGGCTGTCGACGAAACTGCAGGTCAGGAGGTCAGGGTCATCATCCACCTCGCACACCACCACTACTGCAGAAGACAGAGAGGCACAAGTCAAATGGGAGTTTCGGTGTCAGAGAGTGCACAGCTTGTAGGAATTACAAAAATAAAACAGACTCCGCCCACCTCTCTCTGGTCCACCAACGGGAGTGACAGGAGCTTCAGAGAGCCCACCCCCTTTGGAGCAGCTATGGCCATCCTGGCTGTCAGTCACCTTCTTCCTGCCTAACTCGGAGCCCTGCAGATCCAGTAACGAGAAACTAATTTCAACAAAGTCTACAGAGAGATAAGCCATTACTCAGCCAACAATACTGCATTCTGTGCAGAGAACTGTGAAACACAAAGGCAGTAAAAGATGGCATATGGAGAGCAGTACAGGCACAGGGTACAGGTGCAGTAGGGGTGTACACACTGGAGACTCAGGTGTAGACAAAAGGGGTACAGGTGCAGTGGGGGTGTACAGACTGGAGAGACAGGTGCAATTTGTAAAGGAATGACGCACAATGCTGACTGAGTCTCGCCCTCCCCAGCCACTTAGAGAGAAGAGTCGCAGCGACCTCCTGAACCGATCCCCCCTCTCCTCTCTCATTGCACACTGGGCAGCCGGGGGCCTAGGGCAAATACACAGCACATACACTGTCACACTGGGGCAAACACAGCCAGCGGGTTAAATACAGTCACCCCACAACAGTGTGACAACCCGTCACACTGGGGCATAATACACAGTGGGGTTAATAAGCACTGGGGAAAACTGTTGCACTGTCACACTGCAGCTCAGACAATGGAGCAAACATAACACTTAGGGAGGGTTTAACAACCATGAATAATAAGGATGAGGAGAGCTGCCCTTGTTCCTACAAGAACTGTTAATCCTGCAGACGTCACTGACCTCTGTGCTCGCTTGTCAGCTGTTCTCTTGCCCCTCTTGCTCCTGACGGAGCGGTTAGGGGTGCTGCCCTCCCCGCGCTGCCTCAGCTGGGGCAGGACAGAGGCAGGGGTGCGACAGGGTTGAGAGCTCGAGCTCTGGGAGCACACAGGGTCTGAGACCGAGGGAGAGGAAGAGCAAACCACCAAATGAAAAAAATATATATAACTCAAGCCGCACACGCAGTGTGTGAAATGCTGCAGCAAAGCAGTTACAAAAATCAGCGATAATGTGCCATCGGAATGAAATCCTGCTGAAGCGGACACTCACCACTGGGGGGCGACAGTGAGACAGCTGGGCTCTCTTCCCTTAGGTCCTGTATTGATCTCCTGCACACAAGGCAACGAAAAAGACACTGCAAAGACAGTTACACCAAGCGTGGGCCAAGCCTCCCAGCCGAGGTGACTGCAAGGACACTTAATCGGGAGGCAGAGAGAGACAAACACAGCCAGACCCCGCAAAGAGACAGAGAGAGGCAGGCACCCGAGAGAAACCGAGACCACCACAGCAGGACAGCGAGTGACACACCAAGAGTGACAGCCAGACAAAGTGCGAAACGGAGAGCGAGTCCGTAAAACTCTGGGACTGAAGCAGTGAGACAGGGAAAGTGAGGCAGTGAGGCAGAGACACTAACTAGTACCTCTTCCTGGCAGAACCTTCTGGTTCTGGCACAGTGTCCTCAAACGCTTTCCGTTTAGTGACAAGGAGAGACTGAAGCATGGGACTGGCCTCCCCCTGCTGGCCTGAAAGGGAACAGCATGGTCGCACACCACTTCTTACATACCAGATGACATATTGTCAGACTCTTTGCCCATACAGCCTACTAATGAATGCAAC